AGCTTAAATACCTTTTAAATGGGAGGCATTTTAGGAAGCATCTAGGCTACGTCTACATTGCGCTCTCTTAAGCAATAACATATGCCTACTTAACGAGCCGCCATTTTTGTGCAAGGGGCTTTTGCACAAGAGCCATTCTGCTGCTTATTTTCAGGCAGAACGGCTCTTGCGCAAGAGGGGGGTTTTGTGCAAGAAGGAGCAATGTAGACTGCTCCTTCTTGCGCAAAAACCCCTTGCGCAAAATGGCAGCTCATTAAGTATGGGAAAGACTGACTGTGATGAAGAGAAAAGCTGTTCTGGAGGGACAGGTGAATAGCCGTCAGGGTGATGTATAACCCCGAAACAACCTAGAGGGATTAGTGAGACATGACAGCCAATAAAGGCAGTAGAAGGCAGAGGAATAGGTGCAGGGGGAACCCCAACTGAGGGAGGAAAGCCCAAGCTTACCATAAGAAGCGGCTCAGTTAGGAGGCGAGGCAGCGGGTGCAGGCTTGTACCACCAGAGATCTCTAACTAACGCCCAGTCCCAGCTTTGGTTCTGGGCTGAAGGAGCAGCGCAAACCTGAGGTGCATTGGCAGAACGGAGTCACACACGTTCACCCAGTACCTCCCCCAACCAAGCCGGCCTGCGCGAGCTATTCGCCCTTCCCTTCCCCTCACAGTGAAATGTGCCTGGTTCATTCGCATTTAAAGACATAACCCTGTGTCAAGGCAGAGAAAAGTGAAGGGGGTGTGGAGGCAGGAGACTACCAAATGAAAAGAGTGCCTGGCTTGCTTCCAGCAGGGCCTTTTTGTTTTTGCTCTAATTGCTAGTAACAACAGTGGCAAAATATCTCTCTCCAGGCCAATGTATTTGCTTGTAGGGTTGCCAGGTGTCCAGTTTTGAACCAGTCCAGTGTGTGAGCTTTCTGTTTGGGAAACAAATAGAGAAAATAGAAAGGAGAAAATATAAATGTCTGGTATGTTCTAAATAAGATGTCATGTAGATTGGGATGTAATGTCAGGTGTGTCCGGTATTTTTGTTGAAACCATCTGGCAACCCTATTTGCTTGTACAACTCTGTGACCTTAGTTAGGGTGATGCTAGGGATGTAAAATACAGTTTAAAATATTTACCACTTAAATGATACGTTTAACCGGTTAACCGTGCGTCATGGCGTGCTGTGGGTGGAAGGCCTGGCCAGACGGGGCCTGCTGCACCACACCACTGGTGAGGGTCTGCTCTGGCTCAGCTGGGTGCCAGGTGAACAGTTACCGGTAAGCATCACCCGGTAAGATGATGGAGGCCTGCAGCAGTGACATGGCTAATGCCACGACAAGGAGCAGAAACTTTCAGAGACAAGACCCTGGCTGGTGCCTGTCAGAAGAAGCTGCCTCCCATTTGTATGGGGGGAAAGGAGGAGTGAATGGGGGGATGCTACACGCCTGTTAATGTTGTTGCAATAGGAAAGTGTGCAGGAACACCACAACCTCCACAGAAAAGCCGGTAGTAAAATGACCGAACCTCGGCAGGATTCATGACATTATAGTAAGCGGACTGATATTACATGGAGGTCAGATGACTTGAGCAAATCCCTGCCCAGCCTTATATACTGCAGTCTGTCAGGCCACAGATGCAACTAACTTGGGGCACTTAAAAATGAGTTAACATGACTAAAACAATCTATACGTATCACTCCAACTTTACTTCACTGCATCCTCTTACAGGACAGAGCATTTACTCCTGATGTGTGCTAGTGAGAGAGATGAACTGGGACTAGGACTCCTCCATTTGCACTTCACCATGTAATCTTAGGTGAGTCAGTAAGGCCCCGATCCTGCACAGCACTTGAGCACCTGCTCAAAGAATAGGAGAGTTTCTACTGGCCTCACCAGAGATTCAGCCAAGTGCTTTGTTGATCTGCAGTCTTAAATCTCTGTATCTATAGTGTCCCATCTGTACCCTGGGAAATAACACTACTTGCTAACTTTGAAAGGGGCTCTTTGTAACTCCTCTGGAGATAGTTAGCTATCACCAGCCCAGGTAATATATTATTCTTATCTGTGTACACATGTGCAAAGCTCTTGGCATTAGTACTCGTATTGATATCTTAAAGAATCCTCTGTAAATTCTAGAACTTAACACTCCTATGTTTAATGGTTGCCTAGCTCCCAAGCCATCATTAAAGAGAGACAGGAGGATAAAGAGATAGAGCAGGATGTTGTAAAGTTGCATTCCAGATACAACATTGTCAATCCATAACTAACTCTTAAGGGTAAGAGTTGTCACAGGCAGGCCTCTGCACATCTTTCTGCTTCCCTGTCAAATGGCATGACACTTACCTGTCTCACTGCAGGTGGGTGGGTGCTTGCGAGACTCAAGAGGACTTGATTTAATGCCTATTGATGTCAGTGCAAATCTCTCCACTGCCTTTTGCAAACATGGGGTTGAGCAAACTAACTACTATTTGTGGAAGGGACATGAGCGGGACAGATTGCATTTGTCAAGGCTACCGAGCATGATTTGGACTTGTGTTGAGAGATGGAAAAGAGGATCAGGATGGAGCAGGGAAGAAGAACTGGCAGGAACTAACAAAGTTCCCTGATCCCACAATGGTTGTAAGCCCTGAGGGCTGTTCCCCCCTCCCCCCCCCCATATCTCAGTGCAGGAGTGTAGCCTGTTTAGAGCCAACAAAATTAAGACGAAACATGCTTCATCAAGTGCCACGTCTTATTAGAAGTCTGGCTAGGAGCTGCTCTTTTATTTACATTAACCTGATTAACATTCCGTGTAGCACACAATTATCTGACTGTTTCATGCCCACTGCAAACAGGGCCAAATCCCAGGGAGAGCCAAGGTGCTTTCTGACTTCAGAAAAGGAATAGAAGGGGAGGAGTCCACACAAAGCCATACAGGCAGGGCAGAAACAAAAGACTAAACTTAGCAAACACCCCAGCCAGTAAAGACTTAACGGAAGCTCAACATTTTCTCCATTCCTTTCTAAACAAATCAATGGGGACATTTTGGATCTGGTCCCCTACAGAGGAACATGTTGCCCTGGGCATGAGGCAGAGAATTCTGAGAGTGATAATTATGGTTTCTACACTTAAGCTTCCCCTTTGAAACATGAAAACTGCTGTGCCGTTAAATGGTGTGTCTGAACCAGTAAGGGAGATGGTCTGCTTCCATCTCCACGGTCTTGCTTATGTACGACTGCAGACATTCTTGCAGCTGCATTGGCACCAACCTCTAGTGTAAATAGGCAAAAGTGCAATAAGCTGCAATGCACTGATTACAGCTTACCCTCTGCTTGAAACCATGTCAACCCATGCCACTGCAAATGGCAACCTGGTCCAGAATTTAGTGTGTTAATGGAGATGGTTCCCCACAGAAAGTTGTTCCCAACACCATCTAAACTATGAGATCACCATTTGGATTAGACATCCACGTGGACTGTCTCTGTGTCCATCTCTACTGCTGTAGGATGAGTGTTGATGGGAATCACTGCTACTACAGACCCATTGCTGAGGGGTTCTAGCTGGTTCAAGTACCAATGGTTCAACTCTCTATTTTAGATACATCCTTATACTTCAAGGGATAAGGAGGTTTCATGGAAAAAGCTGTACCATTGTATGTTTCTTTTTAAAAACAAACAAACATGCAGGTAGCTTGTGAAAGTTGAATTTGGGGTGGTAGACTCCCTGCTTGAGAGTTGGCAATGCAAATACGACAGCCTTCTTCTGAAGCCAGCTAAGGGATAGCACGGAAGAGAGAGATGCTTGATTAAAGGCTTGAGTTACCTAGCTCAGCGGGAGTGGGAAGTGTTAAACTGAAGGGGGATCTTCTGTCATGGAAGTAGCAAATCCTGCTCAATACTTACGCAGACCCCTACAAAGTTTATGGGAGGAAACGGACTCTGTCACAGGCTTGGCATAGAAAGGAGGGCACCAGGGAGGGGAAATGAGGGTTTTTTCCTGTTTTGGCAAAATTTGTTGTTTTGATGGAAAATTTTGACTCTCTATTGAAGAGCCAGGTGTAGAAGAGACGAATCCCTTCCCTGCAATAATATATTCATGTAAGAATATTAAATAAAGGAAATAATCTGCAATCCCATTTTATTAGCTTCAAATCAAGTTTTTAGTTTGCTCAGAAATTTAATATAATTTTAGTACATCTGTTGTCAAAAAACCCCCATGTGCATAGAAGCACACATTATTTAGGAAAGTACAAGAATCAGTTTATTCAGTGATTTCCAAGGTATTTCATTGTAGCACACCTTATTCCAATATATTCTTCACCAAGAATAGAGAGAGCACTTACCATTCCAATGTACACATCTGTGGAACAGTGCAGCAGAAAGGACTTAACTTGTTTCCAGCATTGTGTAAGTAGTGCATGCAATAGGGCTTGTCTGTACTTACCCAGAGATCGACACTCCAGAGAGAGATTGATCTCCTGGGTTTTGACTTAGTGGGTCTAGTAAGGACCTACTAAACTGACTGCTGATGGTATCCCCCATTGCCCCCTGCACTCCATCATGTTGCAAGGAGTAAAGGAAGTCGATGGGAGAGTTTCTCCTGTTGACCTCCCGCAGTGGGGATGCCGCAGTAAGTCATGGTAAGATACATCGACTCCAACTACTCTATTCACGTAGCTGGAGTTAGATATCTTAGTTCAACTTTCTCCCTCAGTGTAGACCTGGCCTTAGTGGCTTTCCCCCTATTTTCACTTGGGAACAGTATCTGGATCACAGACCCCTTCTTGGCAACTGTTTGATTAACAATGAAAACTTAAGTGAAAGGAAACATTTTTTCAATAGCCTAACGAGAGATGCTTAATCCTAGTCAACTACAGCACTTTTCAGGAAAGCCTTTCTCTGGTACAAGTCCCGGGGTAGTAACAATGATGGGCATACAAGTGTAAAACATGCAGGGTTAGACAACACAGTGTTAAAAATGCCAATGGCCTGTCTATACTAGAG